TCTGAAGATAAAAAATTTGGCTTTAGTTATTAGCCAGCTGCTTAGCCGATTTTTTTGCCGGCTGGCTAAGCCAGCCGACAAAAACCTCATGGCTTGAAACACTAGCCTAATCTATAATAGGATGTTAAAATCAGTGAAACGTTACACTAACATATATTATATATAATTATCCAAATTCTTTAAATTCTTTCCTGTCTATTAAGAACGAAAAATGGACCCAAATAATTTACCACCAGGATGGACGTCTCAATTTGATCAAAATACCAAAAATTATTATTACATCAGTAAGTATTTTACAAAGTCAGGGAGAAGCTAAATTTTAGAATATTTTTTTGGAAAATAGCAATCTATATATCCAAAAGATGTTAAACTTTTTTTACTTAAATAGATCAGGCGACGGGCGTTTCTCAATGGCAGCACCCAGGACATTCACCTGGGCAATACGCACCACCGTCTCAACCGCAGTCTCAACCACAGCCACAACCTTACTCTGAATCTCAACATCTCCATAGGCAAGATTCTTATCCTATGCCAAGTCCTCAAACACCACAACAACCAACTTACAGTGCTCCACAACCTCAATATAATCAACCTCCACAACCAATAAATTACGGACAAGGACCACAAACATACAGTTATCCTGGACAATACCAACCACTCTCTAGCGGGCAACATCAAGCACCACCTAGTGGGCAATACCAACCACCTGCAGGACAATACCAACCACCTGCAGGACAATACCAACCACCTGCAGGACAATATCAACCACAATATCAACCACCTCCAGCCGGTCAATACCAACCACCACCAGCCGATCAATACCAACCACCGCCAACCGGTCAATACCAACCACCGCCAGCCGGTCAATACCAACCGTCATCTACAGGACAATACCAACCACCGCCCGCAGGGCAAGACGACAAAAAAGGCCTGTTTGATACTAAAAAACTTGATGCTTCAAAGTTGGCGTTAGGAGTTGGAGGTATGTGAAAGGTTTTTTTTTTACATTATTTACCAGAATAAAAAAATAATACTTTGTTTTTAAAATTACTTAACAGGAGGTGCACTAGGAGCTGCAGCCTTAGGATATTTGGTAAAAAAAAAATATATATATATATATATATATTTATGTATTTGATGGGAAGAAATCCGATTTTTTCGAGTCCCTTTTGATGCAGAACGATCTTTAATTAGTATTTTCTATTAAAAATATGGTGAAATAATGAATAGCAATAAAAAAAGATTATTCAAAAAATACGGATTTCATTCTCTTGTTTCTACATTTAAGCAGGAGAGTACTTAAATTAATCATTTACCAATTATACTTATTATTTAGGGACATTCACTTTTGTCACATCATGAACACGATAAACATAAACATGGTCATGGCCACCACCACCATCATCATAAGGAATGTTGAAAGGCCGAAATCGAATCAAATCTGTGGCACCTGGAATAATAAAGTGATTTGTTAAAATTTTCAGATGTATTATTTTTTTATTATAATAGTAAGTTGGATAAAACAGCAATAAATTATCCCTTAAACCGTCTAGCGGGCGTTTAAATTTTTTTGCCCTATTATTGTACAATTTCTCAAGTTGCACCCCATAATCTCTTGACTAGAATAAAAGAACACTACGTGCTAGTTGTCATAGAATTATTATCTTACGAAACTTCCTCAACGGCATTCCAAAAATCGCCTAAATGGTTGATCGTAATATGATCTTTACGATCAAATTTAATACATAGTAAAAGAAATGATACTTGCAAGTGAAAATTATGAAGATCTATAATTGGTACGTAACCCACAATTTTATAAAATTTTCCGGAATGGAAAATGTCACTTCGGACTTTCAATTACATTTTGACCGCACACAATCCTCAATAAATTATAGAAAGTGTCCGGTCAAAATGTAATTGAAAGTCCGAAGTAACATTTTTCCGCTCATACAATCACGTGATAAATGCTATTGTAAAGTAAATAAGGGAAAGTCTCCGGACAGCAAAACTTACGAATTTGATACACCTGCATTTACTTTTTTGATACGCTTTACTTACCGGTAATACAAACTCCTAAAAAGGAAATAACCAATAAACAAAATCGAAGATCATATTAATAAATGTTTGATCAAATTCAGTAAAAATTTTTTTATTTTAATTTAGTAATTATGTATAATCAAAAGGAAAAAAAGTTTATTGAATTTGATTTAGTAGTTGTCGAGAAATCATCGAATAATTAGGGCATTAAATTAGAAAATAAACTTTGATATGCCAAGCTTTAACTATATATAGTATATAACTGTGAAAAATTTTGTCATAAATAAAGATTTGATTGGTGTGCGCAAAAATTTTGTTAGTGATGATCTTCAAAATTTCTGATTGGTAGATCTTTCACGTGATCAAAAAATTATGTGGGAAAACTACCTCAGGATCTCATAGGCAGAAATTTGTCTAATTGGCTAATGCAAATCAATTGCCCAGGTAACTTATTTATATATTTTAGAGTACTTTTTAAGAATGCAACATTACACAAGTAACCATTCGTAACAAACATTGTCTTTAGCTTCAAAGAGGTGCTAGAAAGCTAACTTTAAAAATAATTTTTAATAATCTCTAATTTAAGAAGAGTTGGCTTAGACATGCCTTTCTGCAAGAGGTAAAGAAAAAAAGCTATGTCTAAATTTTAAAATGCACAAAAACAAAAATAATTATTAACAAAATAGTTGTCTCTTTTTTTAAAGCTTGAGAATTCAAATTAGGTGTTTGAAACAAGATAAGCTTGTTCGTTTGAGAGATTTATATTTTATATTTAAGGTTAAAGGTTTATTAACTATAGATATCAACCTGGGTTTATAAATAGTAGAGTTAGTAATTCGAAATTTGTTTTAGTATTAAGCACCACTTTTGCCTTACTCTATATGCAT